TTTCCAGAAAATTTGAGTTGTATATAGTTGAGCACAAAGTTGTTAGTGGAATCTTCTAGGATTTGTTTGACTGGCTTGAGTAGATCATCCATTTGCTCTATGATTCTGATTAGCAATTGGCTGCGTTTGGATTTATTTTTTATGTTGGTGGTTGTGGGATTTCCTTTCGGATTTGGGTCATTGTTGTTTGTCGTCTTTTTTGAATTTCGTTTATCATTTGACTGGCTTTCAGTTGAGGTTGATAGTGGTCTTTTGTAAGTAGCGGAGGATTTAAATATTTCTGTGTTCTGTAGTGGATCGTTGAGTGTGTTGTTAGTATTAATTGTAGGTAGGTCGGTAGTGGTGGTGTTGGAATTTTTGTTTCTTTTTTGGTTTTCTGTTTCGGTTTGGTTTTCGTATAAAATACTTGTGGTTTCTTGTGTATTACTGGAGGATAATATCTGTTCCCTTTCTCTTGGTATATCGCTGCTGTTGGTTTCCCTATTATTATTGTTAAGTTCCCTATTATTATTGTTAAGTTGGTTGGGTGTGTAAGATACATTGTTTTGCAAAATGTCCCTCTTATTTGCATAGAAAACAACTGACTTTGTTGGTGGAAACGAATATTCGGTACTGTGTCGTCATGTGTTATTAGGAACGATTCAGGGATTTTTTGAGCATCTAGATCTACGTAAATTTGCCTTCTAAAGCTCATTATGTGCGCAAAGAAGGATTCCTGTAGTCCAGCTCGGAGAAAGGTGAGTTTGGATGTTGCTTTTATGTTTTCATCCATTAGGAATTTTTCAATGAACTCGTGGGGTACAGTAGGAGAAACGTTAAAATTATTCGTTGTGATGGATTTACAAGGATCTGACTGTGGTGTTCGTATTGTTGATGTTAAGTGTTTTGTAGTTGTTAGTAAATTGTTTTGTTATAGTTTAACTGTCGAAATAGATACAAATTCTGTTGTTGGATATACGGGATGCAAAGCGGATGGCGTTGGGTCCAGCGTTTTTGCTATGGCTATTACATAATCCTTCACGGTTGTGCCATCTATGGCATCAATTATAATTGCCTGTTCTTTACTGAGGAATGAACTATTGGTTGTGGCTGATGCATAAGATTTTTCAGGCTGTATGTTTGAAGATTTCGGTTGGTTTCGAATCGATGTAGTTTTTGTTTCCATGGTTGGGCTTCTGTAGTCGAGGTACTCGTTGGTGTCAAATACACTATATATCATTCTACTGTCAAGACGGAGTAGCGCGATACATCATCACACTCACATACAACAAAAGTCACTTAGCAATCAAAACAATTAGATTGGAGCACTCACAAGCGACAAAACACGTGTAATTTTAAATATATAATTACAAATTAATAAAAAATATCTACGATGTATAAAAGAAAACGCGATAGATCTAAATGGAGTGCTAATTTCATAAAAAAATACGGAGAATACTATTTCGAAATCTTGAAAAGTCATGACTGCTTTAGGTGTCTCAGCTGCAGTCGATGGCTTCATGACAGATAATTTAAATACAAAAATATTTGCAATTTATGCAGATAATTGAAGAAGAAAGATATACAAATTAACTTCCTTATTCGTTATATTTTTTGTAAACTATATATCTCATTATTTTTCACTATATTTCTCATTATTTTAAATCGGTCTCACCGAACTATTTTAAAATTAATATAAATTAAATATGATAAATTTTAATTAATTTCGAATAAAAATCTTAAGTTTTAAATAATGTAGGTAATAAATATAGTTTATATTTAATTCATTATTAATATATAATTTTATTACAATAAATATAAAATATAAAACTAATTAAATTATATCAAAAATAGAAAAGAATTATTTAATAATAAATAAATTTTGTAAATTTAAATAATGATAAATTAAATAAGTATAAATAAAATTTATATAGTATAGTAGTTAGACCATAACGGTCTAACCTGGATATGCGGGTGAAACCGGTCAGTTGCAGTGTAAATGTTTTCTATTGGAAATGGAAATAGATAATTTTAATTTGTCAGAAAATATGATTTATTTATAATCGTTAAATAAACTGGATAATAACTAAATTTATTCAAAGTAATAAAAATTTGAAAGAAACAACATTTTGTACATTGTTTTTTTCAAAAAGTGGTCAAACTATCCCGGATTTACCCTATATAAAAACTAATAAATATGATCTTTACTGTGCACTCCGATGTGTATCTCAAGGTAAAACAATTATCATCATAATATTCCCACATTCGATATCATACAACTTTTTACCTGAAATATATTTTCATATTTCTGATACAGAAATAATTGCATTGTGTAGACACATCGTTGTTGCTATCATGTTTTATTTAATTCACGCGACATCCAATTATCCAATTTCCTCACAGCCTTTCAACGATCAAGAACACTTTTATCTTTTAATCCAAGTTCTAATACGTACTTACAGGTTAATTTCTTGAATTTTCTTCAATTACTGTTCTTAAAACATCCCTATATACCGTTGATTTATATGATCGTCGGCCTTCTTGATCTTTGAGGCTTGCATCGCCCGAATGAAATTTCACAAACCAAAGACGTGTCGTTCATTAGCTGCATCGTTGCCGCAAGCTTTCCGTATATACAGGACGACATGGAAATAGGTGGCTGAACTTTGGTACCGTATTCTGCTTTTCCTAAAGATGAAAAAAGATCATATAAACATAGGTCCAGAAGCTCTTCCTTTCCAAGATATAAACACTTTTTGCTTATGACAGAGTATCGTAAGAATGATTAAAAATTACTTACATAAATTACTAAAAATGATTCTCCTCTACTTTGGATCAACTTTACATAGAGACTATTGAAAATATTGAAGATTTCTTTCTTTCGATTTCATTTTCGTTTCTTCAAGTATGTATATAAATCAAATTTTTTTACGATATTCCCATAAGTGAAAATCCAAATAAATTAAATTATCAGACTGTACAGACTATGCAACAAAAAGATGTTAAAACTATCACCAATCCATCAACTTGTATAACTTTTATTAAGAGCAGTTCGGGGGTACGTTTTGCAATAACATTGAAAACTTACATTTCAAACATTGTATGTAATATTTGCTTCTATATAAGTAAGTAAATTATTTGCTTCTTTTTAAAAAGAAAAAACTAATAATAGTTCTAATTCTACATGTAGTGTCTCTAATAATACGACATACACATATATATGTATATTACATTGCAATATAATAATAATAATAATAATAATAATAATAATAATTAACACAACAACAACAATATATTATAATAGCATACATATTGTTATTGTTATGTATTACAACATATTGCAATGTACTTCAATATGGATACATGTTCGTTTTTCATTATTAGGGAGAGCAGAATACGGTACCAAAATATCATTGTATTAATAAAATATCATTACTCATAATCTGCAATCGTTCATATTCAAAAAAGCATTTATGAACTTATATGGCGGAAATATCCAACAATAACTTTATCGCCACATTATTGATCCTTGAAATTATCCTGAAATAAAATCCTAAAAAATGAAATTTAATTCAGAGTATATAATTTATCTTTATGAAATTCATTTAGAAATAAACAGTGTATTGCACGTCGCTTCGTGAAGAAAATCGGAATAATTGGTTACATAATGATGCATTATGTTATGAAATCAGTTTTAAGTAATACGATGATATCTTTCTCAAAGATATATTCTCAAAAATATTTTAATTAGAAAATTCCAAAATATGTGATTATCCAAGTTCATTTAAACGATAAAAATTGGATAATCACATGGAAATATTAAAATTGGAGAAAAATTAATAAGTTCGATAATCGATTCTGAGAAACCGGAATATCTTTATAACAATAAACGAATTATAAACATGTAGAATTCTATCCTATATAATATACTCTCTAGAAAAATAGATATTTCATTTAGGATTATAAATAGAATTCCTGTAACTTTATAACTTCATGATTAATTTAGATTTTAAATACTATCAAAGTTGTAATTTCATGTTATGCTGAATGAAATGATTGTGTTAAAGCAACAAGTTATGACCGTCTGTGCAGTTATATAGTAAGTATATAGAGTATAGTGGTATAAAGTATAAATTAGTAAGAATCGATTGCTCGGACATGAAAATTATAGTGTACTTTAGAATAAAATAATGCAATTTTATACAACATCTTATACAATATGCAATTCGTCCTTTATTGCAACGAAACATTTATTACGAGAGATACACAAAGGCAATGCACATCATATATATATATAAAACAGATGAACATGTGTTTCAATAAAAAAAAATCAAATATTTAAATATTCAAAAAAAATTAATCAAAGGTTAATATGTTGGTTGCTAACATACAATTTCATTTATATTTTTATATTTGAATAAAAATGTCATTATTGTTTTAATAGAAAGCAAACTGATTGTTTCTGGCTTTTTCATAATTTCCTATTGTTTTTTTCTTAAATTATTTAAATATAACTAGTAAAATGTATTAACCTCGCATGTAATAAATATCTTCTAGGTTACAAATATGAGAAAATTGAGGAACACTACATAAGATATAATCTTCTAACATATACCACATATTCAATTAATACAATTATTACAAATTACTAATGATATTAATTACCAACATTGCTAATATTATATTCTTATACTTTTATATGAATTATGAAGCTAAATTTATTCATTTAAATACATAACGTTTTTGCCGTAATAAAATATAATTTTATGTACAACAGAAATTTACATAACACAAAAGTCTATTTAATAGCCCACTAATAAAATAACAAATAAAAAATCAAAGTTTTGTACTTCAATCAATAGAATTTAATTTATATAAATATAAAAATTCTCAATTTTCAATATCATTATGTTCAGTTTGAATGTTTTTTTTTTTTTTACTATGAAAAAAGACCTCTGTTAAAATTATTTAATAATAACTTCTTAACTTAATGAAATTGTATAAAATAAAAATACACTCACTTTGCACGATGCACGCCGCTAGCAGAGCTGCTTCACCTGGACTGCAATATAGCCGTCCATGAAGAAGGTCCCTTTTAAGTTGTTGGTAAACTTGATACCTAGTTATTTCTTCCTTCAGTCTGAGAGGATCCGGTGGATAAAATTTCACGCGAAAACTGAACAGAATCGGATCCATGTCTAGAACATATTCATAATGAAGTATTTTAATTATAACATATTAAATTGCCTATTTCTATCATTGCATATTTGTTTCTACAAAATAATTAGTATATTCAAATGATGTTTCTATTATTTTAGATTATTTGCTTTTCGTATATTCATTATTTTTAAAAATATGAGGTACAAAATTTGGTAATTAATAAATAAATAATTATATTAACTTGAAATATGTTCTCAGGGTCATGAGTCTAACAATAAGCAATTTTTCTCTATACGATATAGTCTTTGGGATATTCAAAAACATTTCTTTAATTTCTTACTGTAATGTAGCTAACTGCACAGTTTACTGCGCAGTTTACTCAATTATTATAAATATCCAAAAATTTATATATATTATACATAAAATTTATATATATTATATATTTAAATTTTTATATTTATATAGTGAAGAGTATACATATACACACAATGATAGGAAATTATCGATATTTCGTTGAAAATCATGCAACAATTTATTTGATTTCATTTTAAAACGTAGAGCCTTAAATTAGTTTTTTCCAAAAGATATTTCTACATCACGTAGCAAGTGAAAAAGTAAAAGTAGACAGGTTAATCCATCTCAGTTTTAAAAATTCAAATTTTTTCTTTACAACGACTTCTTTGTCATTTTATTGAACTTTGAACGTTAAAATTCCTTGAATTTTTATCGTTTAACCCTAATGTTGAAAATTCAATAAAATAACGAAAAAAATCTTACAAATCAAAATAGAAACTTTAAAACGTTTTAAAATGAGAGCAAATAAATTGTTATATGATCCTTTTTACAAAGTTGCAACAATTTATAAATAATTTTTCATTTAAATTAATTATAGTGCAAAACTGACTCTAAAAAAATAGTTTGTATCTGCCACAATGGTGATGGTATAAAAGATATGGTGATAAAATTTTTTTAGGAGGGTCAAAACATCCTACATTTTGCTTTTTCCTTTTTTTGGTATTCTACGTGCAAATACTCGAAAAAATATCATTCCACGTGTGTTCCATTTCACTCATCGCTGTAAATGTTTTCTTTTTTTTTTGTTTTTACGTTGTATTGTAAAGATTATATGAAAAATATAATTTGAAAACTAAATTAATAATATGAGTTAATTAAAAATAATAAATAAATAAGTTAATAATGTAAAAATAATTTAAAAATTTTTAACTATTTAAAAATAAAAATTTAATCTACTGTAGTAGATAAAAATCTAAAAAAAGAATAAAAATTTAAAAAGATAAAACTCTACTTAAAAGAAGTATAAAATCCCGGAACTGATTACTTGCAATACAATTATTTGAAGTAAAAATTAATGGAAATATTGTTTGAAACTATATATTGTTATCTCATATTTCAATGAAATACTTATTTCACAATAATATATGTATGAGTTAATGTTAAATTTCGTTATTTTATTGAATTTTCAACATTAAGGTTAAACGATAAAAATTTAAGGAATTCTAATGTTCAAAGTGATCCATTTAAGTGAGGCCATCTAAATATCTTTTCGATTTCAATTGTGATGATGCAAAAGTATTTTTTACCTAACATGAATGATATCGAAAGGCTAAAACTATTATAATATAATTAATATAATGTAATTTTATAAAAACTAAAAAATATTTTTTTTCAAGATCATTGTTTTCGGAATTTTCAAGGTCACTGATGTTTTTTTTCATACAATTATATTTTTTTTATTATATCGTGTAGTTGGTAAAAAATACGTTCAGATATGTGAAGAACATGACGCTGAAAATTTAAGTTCAACGCATAAATTTATCTCTGTCGAAATTATAGACCTTCAAGACGCAACAATCGAGAGCCTAATAACAAATGTAAATAAAGATGTTTATTATTTATTGTCAATGATAATCTCTTCTCGTAACTTGAAATCCCGAGCAGTATATCGAAATACTTCAGTAATTCATAATGAACTCAACTCAAGAAAAGATCAATATGATATTCATTTATGGTAAAAGTGATCAGTGTTTGAGGAATGTACAAAGATACATTTACTAATCATACAATTATATATTTTTTTTATTGCATCGTGTATTTGGTAAAAAAATTACCAATAATTTTGTTTATATATTTTCTGTAATTGTTCAAACAAGTAATAAATCTTTACCATTCGATAAATCTTTAAATAAATAAATAATTAAAAGAAATAACTTTCGTTTATTTTAAATTTTGTTTTTTGCCAATTATAGTTTGAGAATTACAAAATTACAAATAAAATAAAAAAAACAGTTAAATTTATATAATTTTAATTTTAACACAAAAATATTGATACACAATAATATTTACTTTACACATCTTGATCACACGTTTAATTTTCTGAATTCTCAAGTTTTTCGTTGTCACAGAAATTCAGCAACAATGTAACCGTTGTACGCTAAATGATATCCAAGTCATGCTCATGCTCTTCAACATATGTTTCAAGTTACGTTTCAGAAAGATTACTCGCACAAGACAAGAAAATGTTATACAAAATGTTACTTGACGAATACTTTGTTATATATCACTTACAATCTTGGCAATATGTAACTGATATATAACAAAGTATTCGTCAAGTAACATAATAGTAACAATAGGGCTGAGTAGAAATAAACGAAGACAGATAGGACATATATTTATATGACTTTTTTTCATTATTTTTAGGTATACAATCAGCTCCCGAAGTGGGCCCCACTAGTTACGAAACACCCTGTATATATATGGATCAGTACAATAGTCGCAATGATATCTTGGACACTTCTAATGAAAAAATAATTAATTACAGAATCACTTTCTTATAAGAAAAGTCTTATAATAATTTTCTTTTACATAATATTGTAGATAATGTTCAAATAACATAGCAACCATTGCCTTTAATGAGAAATTTTAGAAAAATATTCAAGATATTTTTTTTAAAAGAGATAAGAACTCTCGAAGAAGAAAAGAGAAAGGAGCAATCAAACAAATAAATAAACAGATAGAAAAACAAAAATAGAAAAAATTATGCTTAATTGCTTTCAGTTTTTTATATGCTTTGCCAAGATCAAATTCTTCTGTTTATTTGTATCTATAGGAATAGTACAGTATTGGGTCATTCGAGTTTGAAAATTTCATGTGGCATCGACCCACGGCAGCCAAGTACAGAAAGAAGGAAACACAATCGAAACCTTGGCCACAGCTGTTCATTGTTACACACGATCGAATTTATTACGTGCTTTTTCTTGCAGTAAAGCTTATTTCACTTCGCTTAATTCATTTAATTCTCAACATGTGCATATTGTGAACATCAACATTAATACCTATGAGAATAATTATCATAAATAAGAGATTATTATTAATACGAATTAATTCATATGAATCTATAAATAAAATATTATAAATTTGTTTCAATTTGATTATATTATAAATTTAATTCTAATTTTTTGTTATTAGGTAGTTATTTTTTTACATAATTTTGATCACTTGTCAAATCACTTGTCAATCACTTATCAAAAGCATCTTTCATCTTTTTTTTTTCATAAATTGCTGTTAAATAATTGCTGTTAATAATTGTTGTTAAAACATTCTATTCTAAACATATATTTTAACAATAGATTTTTCATCAATATTTTTACCATATTCTAATAATATGAAAAAATTAATATTAAATATTATAGTATTGAGTATTAAAATATTCGAAATATTAGAAATTATAAAAATCATATTACTTATTCAAATACGTAATGAAATTAAATACTAACCTTTCACTTGCTTAATCGCTGTTTTTGCCAGATCTAACCAATGCTGAAACAGATTTATTTAATACGATTAAATACAATTTATTGCGAAAATTATTTAATTTTAGTTTAATTATGTTTAACTAATATAATTCTACGATATAGCAAGATATTTGTACATAGAAATTTGTGTATTATTACAAATTATTGAATGTTGAATATTGGAATTGTTGACTAAAGAAATACTGTATATGCATATGTAAAAACATTTACATTACAAATAATTATAAATGAATTTCCAACATTCCGTTCTTATTGTAAATTATTATTAATATGTTAATTATTATTATTTCAATTAATTATTATTATTATACCATACGTTTGTATTTTTCTTGCAACATATAAAACGAAATCTATCTAGAAAATATACATATGTATAAATTTAAAAAAAGCATAATAAAAATAAAGTAAAATTTTAATAATAATTAAAAAATTATAACAATAATAATCAAAATATTAACAGACTAATTCGCTTTCTATTTAAGTATGACATTCTATGTACATTTTTTACTTATAAAATAGGCATTTTTACTTATAAAATCTTACGTTCTAACTAAAATAATTAATCATTTGAAAAAAGATAACTACAATAGTTAAATAAATGATTCAAGTTTTACAATAAAATCAATTTTCTTTTTAAATTATTTTTACGTGTTGCGTAATATTTAAACTGATCAATTTCCATAGTTAAATTTTATTTTTATTTAAAAAAGATAAAATTATAAAACATAGAGTCTAAAAATAATATAAAAATGTACACAACAAATGTTTATAGAAATAATCTACAGAAACAATCTATTTGGATTTATATTTTCAATGTAACAAAATTCAAGAGAAATATTATTCTGCAACACACTAAGTGTTTCCACTTCAAAATTTTCACTGCTTCTTTCTTTTAAATTAATTAGTATTAGGTTTTTCCATTTTCAACTATATCACACTAAAATACTTCTTTTCAGTGATAAACTAATATCAATTAAAAATAAAACAATCAAAAAATGTATTTATCAGACTTTACTTTTATGATTTTGAGTTATTAAGTTCAAAAATAGAAAACGTTTGTGGCTAGAGAAAAACAACCACAACAGGCCATAATGTTAGAGAAACATCTGCAATACGTTATGGCAATTTTAAATTATGATTAATATAATTAATTGACATTATGACCTCTTCTTTTACAGTTATAATGAAATATGAAATAAATTATATCACGCAATAACGTTGAAGTGAAATCAGGAAGGGATAATCTTCGTAGGATTTAGAATAGGATTTTAGCTTACATACAATCTTGCAAAAAATATAATTAAACAAAAGCGATGACTAAGGGCCACATTAATTTAGATTTGAATTTGTAAAGTTATCTAAAATTTACGTCATGTTCCATTATGATTATAAAAAGAAACGATCATAACATTTTGTTATCATTCTCTTTAATAGCCACGAAATGAATTTCGAATCATAATATAGTGTTTTTTCCTTGTCTTCTTCGCTAATAAGTATTTTCGTTCTCTTTTGAATTTAACATAGTGATTATCAATGTTACAACGATAGCATGTTGTTTGACTACATTATTATTGAATAATTTTACATATTATATTATCTATGTTATCATAATTATTATCTTTTCGCAATATTATTATTAAACAAACTTTACAATCTTTTATAGCAATGAAAATACTAAAAGTTCATAATATAAATAAAAATTTCAATTTAGTTACATTAAAAGATACTTATTGTTAGTACAACAATGTTCCCTGACATGAATTAGTTTTATATATTATATCACGAAATATTAGATAAATAAATAAACATTTCTATAATAAAGTGACATATATTTTTAATATTTATTTCCAGCGCAAATTCTTTCTATTCTAGATATTCTGATTACAACACAATTAAAACCTAAAATAGTAAAAAAAATTGATTAGTATATATGATGAAAAAGAATGTGTGGTCGAGTTCTAGAAACCTAGAGCTAGAAACTGATAGATTAATTTTTGAAGAAGACAAGGATAGAATGTTTCCATGATTATCCATGCAACATTGATTTTTTCCTGCGTTAAAGCCTCTAGCTTTCGCAGATATGTGCACTCTTCTTCAAAAGCATCATACAGCGTAAATTCCTTTTACATTGACAGATGTAACAAATATTCCTTTTTCTTTTTTATACTCATATGAACAACTATCTTCATATTGCTTTCTGTCCATATTATGTTCCGATTTATCATTTTAAATTTTTACTTATCTTCTTCTATTTATCTTTTATCGAATAACAATTTTGGTCAAGATCAGAACTGCTATTCTCAATTTCATATATTTTTACGTTTATATATTTTTTGACAGGAAGTGTGAGATTTCGATAGGTGATTTAAAATTATTATCTTAATTTTATTTATCAATATTTATTTATTTATAAATGCGCTGCAAAATGAACCATAGTGTAATTAGTTGACTGATTAGTTAATTAATTACTTATTTATGAAAAAATATTAAGGATCTAAAATATGTTTAATTTCATTATATAATAAGAATACTATATAAAATAAACAAAATTATTATAAGTTCAGGATTTCTTTTTAAATATTTTAATATTTACTTTGTTTTCATTTTTTCATTTTCATTCAATTCAATTCAATGTAATTCAATATAACAAACATTTATGATCATCAATTTCTGCATGCTATACGATCAGTATAATACGTATTTTGTGCAAATTAATCTTATCGAAGTGCTTATTCCATTGTAATAATATTATTCGCTTTAGTTTAAGTCTACAGGTATTCTAAATCGTCAAATTTCGTTGAATCTTCCATTATATCATTTCAAGTTATCAAAATATAAACAACAGGATGTTTTGTTTAAGTTCATGCAACATGATTGAATACAATATATTTTTAACAAATTTTTCTCTATAAAAGATATATACTGACATACGAATGAATGTTCCTAATAACAACACCAGTAACAATACATAGACTGTAGAGTAACAAATATGTCTCGTGTATTGTATGTGACACGATTTTAATTTTCTTTCCAGATGTAAAAAATCTCTCTTTTGTGTTATCATTATAGATTAATAAATGATTTGATTGCTTTTCATAAACTTCTATTTCATTGGCAGTTTTATTTTCTCTTTAATATCTGTATATATTTCTCACTCAGTTTTTCCTTTTCTCTGTATTATATTATAAATAATTGAAACATAACGATCAACTCTAGCATCTAAGTAGCTGTTTCGATAATTATTTACAAAGCGACTTCTCGGAGTTTGACAACCTTGAAACATGGTCAACATTCTGAACAACTTTTTCCTGTATATGTTATTGCCGGTCGTCTTTAGTTTACAAAATACGGCAGAAATTGAGAACGTTACGGTAGAAACAGAGATCGTATTTAACAAGATGTTTTCATTTTTAAAAAGAACTCTGTTGGAACGTATATATTTCGTATGAAAAAATATGTTTTAATGGAATTTTTATAAAAAGAGATGTTATACTTAGGAATATTTTGAACAGTGTTCTCATATAAAAAATATTTTATATATATAATAAATATATAATAAAATACATATATAATAAAAATTCTATAGAACAAGTTATTTTAAAACATTTAATTGAAAATCCACTTTTATATTCGGGTATTTATTCAATTGAGTATTCAGTGTCATTATTTGCTACAAATATCGAGAACTTCTTTAATAGGTAATTTGATGAACAAATTATCTATTCTTCTGATAGAAAAATTTTTATATTTTAAAAGTTCTGTCCTGTCTGAAACTTTTATTTTTGAGAACGTTTATTTATCTGTTCTCATCACGACTAGTAAGAACGTTTTTCGTAAAAAAATTCTATAATCTATGTATATCAAACAGAATTTATTTAAAAGTTCCTTAACTTTTTCGATCCCTGCAGCAAAACGTTGACTATTCGAACTAATTGGGAAACAAATCCGAGTAAGCAGTTTTTCGGATAATCGATCTGAAAGAATCGAATTCGTGATCATGTCACAAATGAGCTAAAAATTAAACAATTTTCAAATATGGATGTTTATTACGTAAAACAATACATATCGTATACTCATACATATACGAATACATACGTATTCTTTCACTATTAAGAGAAAAACTTTTATTATCTCTCAACCTGGCATGCAAAGTGTTTTTTCTTGAATCAAGATCCATTTGCATGTATGTACGTATGCATGTAAACAACTTGATCATCATTTGTTATTTTCAAACTTCTATAGAGACGAAAATTCAGTAAGTTATTTTGAAACTTTAGTTCAGTGAAACAATATTGATTTAGTATTTTTAATGTCGCTAATTGTAAATTTTCTAACATTATATTCTGTGATTAAATTAAATGTTTACCATTTTTTAAACATTCAATAATATTTAATTTATCTTTTAATTCCAACACCATTCTTTTTCTTTTGATACTCATGGTATAAATGAAATCTGTACGTAAGCAGTTTACTTATTGTTAAACAGGGCACTAAAATGGAACATTTGAGGCAAGTATCCCAAAATATAAACATTGCTTGACATATATTTTAAATGTATACATACATAATCCTACATTTGGATAATCAAAATTCGAATGATCGACGTTTCGGATAATCGATGTTTACAAAAATATTTTTGTCGTCCTATATTGTACTTCTAATGTTTGGAATATGTTTGTATTAACCCTCCGACTACTGAACTTCAGCGTCCAAGTGCGTCCAGTACGCAGATTCTAAAATATCTGTTCCACGAGATTATTTAAAAGTATTCTTAAATGTAACACTTAATCTTTCTATAAAAGTTCAATAAAAACAGATTTTTTTATACAAAATATATAGGTTCGAAGAAAATATTTTTAAAAATGATAAGAACTTGTTAATTTCGATTCCTGGTTACAGTTTATAATTTTTTTGAAAAATTTGATTCTCATTATAAATAACATAGGATAAAAAGAGAAAAGAATTTAATCTTGAAATTCAATATTAAGTTCAATTTCACGGTACATTTTCTTAACGAAAATTATATACTTATCAAAAACGTAACATTTATTTTTTTAACAATCTGACAAGAAATATAAAAGTATGATTAATTAGTTTTCTATATTAGGTTTTCTATATAATGTAAAAAAAAATTATAAATTAAATAAAAATATAAAAAAAATTGGGTTTTCTATATAATGTAAAAAAATGTAAAGTAAAAAGAAAAATAAATTAAATATTGTCGAAAAAAAAAATAAAAAACGATGCTGTAGATAAGAATATTTAGTAACAAAAGTATTACATTGAGGTTAAGTCTTTAGGATTTCATTTTAAACGTTGAATTGAAGAGGAAACGATCTACAAAGACACTTACCCTTTGCCTACAATGATCCACGTAACGAAGCCCAAAATAATCCGTTTCCAAGATATTAAGTTGCTTGCATACATATTCGAGAATGTATCTTCCTTTGTGCTGAGGCTGCAACAAAAAGAAAAAGGATACTGCAGCTGATTAAAATACTAAAATTTACTACCATCATTCTATATTTAACATTACACTTTAATAAAATTCATGTCACATTGCACATCTTTCTTTCCTCTCTTTTCTTCCTTATTAATTCTAAATATGAATTAATCAAAATTGCGAGTAGAAAAAGATAACACTATAATATTTACAATAAAGTATCTAAATAGAATTTTAAATATAAAGTATACTTAATTTCATTTTATTCAAAATCGTAATATCATATACATGATTATATATCTTTTTTTTTTTTTTTAATAAAATTAAACTTAGAATTCCTGTATCTAATCAGATTTATTTTTGTTACATAATTGGCTAATAAGTTGCGTTCATTTAATAGCATAATATCAGACCTACGGCAGTCAATTATTTCTCCGTTAACATTATTTGTCACATATTGACATCGATGGGATACCATGGGGTACCACATAGCAATGGATCAGCACAGTACATAATATTCTATAAAAAAGAAAGTGTGCGTCTGAGATTTTGAAAAATTAGCTTTAACATAACATTTAGCTTTAAAAACATTGCATGATGAAAATAATAGAGAAAAAAAAAAAGATCCTGAATATACAGGATTTCTCGTTATCAAGTTATAGAAGTCCATGATTTAACCCGGGATTACCCACCTGGGGGTCTAGAGCAGGTACATCCCGGCGACTAGACCCTCACGTGGGTAATTCCGGGTTAAAAAAACAAACAGAATTTTCATACATTAAATACATACATACACATATATATACTTGAAATGTTTATTAAATGTATATACATACACACATATAGGGTGTCTCATTTGAAATGTCCCACCAATTATTTCCTACATTATTTATTATAGAAAAAAATATTTCAAGTACAACTTACTTTCTTGTCATTTTAAAATAGTCACAAATCTTGGTCTAGGCAAACGTGCTTTTAAGATTTCCAAGGGAAATCCCTGTTTTTTTTAAATGAAACTACATATTTTTTTCAGATGAATATAGCCCATTGTTTGATGAATTCTATCATGTATGAAACATCCTGAACATTGGAGAGGGTGCAACTATCCTTTAGAGATAAAATAATCAGTGCATTGACGCTCGAATGTGAAAGAGAAGATAATAATTTTTTGGTACGTTCAACACAGTTAACTTAAGAAAGACAGTAAACGACCTTGAATAATCTTGAATACCAACTATCAACATATGAAGGTTGAATCTGTCATGAAACAGACTACATGTCCAGTTGATGAAAAAGTACATACAGTTACATTAAAAAAAATAAAGGTCATTTTCAAGTCTCCGAAGCACGTTTACCTAAACCAAAATTTGTGACCATTATAAGATGTCCCCCTCAAAACAAAGTAAGTTTTATTTGAAACGTTTCTTCTATAACGAATAATTTAGAAGAGAATTGTATGGAACATTTCAATAGAACATTCTGTATATAGTACATAGATAATCATTACATACAACAAACAAAAATTTCATCAATATTTCCATACATTTTTGATACAATATAGAATATTACTACATTTTAAAATATTAAAATTAGCGATTATCAATTCTACTAATTTTTCGCTCTGTATTATTGTGCGACACATTAACACATTGATTGCCACGGTGACCAACGTTTCTGTTCCTATAAATATTTTAAAATCTGTATTTATTTACTTAATATGAATAGAATAAGATGAATACATCAATAAAAACATTTTTTAATTTTATGAGAATGAACATGTTTTCATTACATTTTTATTGTAATATTTTATTGTAATTACGTTTTTATTTCATGTAATTTTTTAAAACTGAAATATTCCGTCCCGTAGGCAAAATGAATTTTATATGGCAGACATGTGTTTTAAGATTCTTACTTCCGGAGTTGTTACCGTTACCCACTATATCATACTGTCACTATGTCATGCTGTCAGAGTGACATTAAGAACTACCATTGACAGTAAGAAGTATCATGATAGGAAATGTAATATTTTTTTTATTCGTTATTCGTGATTCATTATTTCGTTCAATTACATATTCTGATTGATACCCATAAAGTAGCCGGTTCCAAAATATTTAACACGTTATCTCTTGAACGAATTTGGATGCCCTCGCATATTAAATCACAAGACGTGATTGTCATCTGTTCAGCTAGAACGCGATGAACTAAAATAAAACATTGGAGAATTATGTGTGTGGATCAGAAATGGACAAAAAATTAATCAACAATTAACGAATAAATTTTTCCAATAATCTTTAATCGTAATTAATGATTATATTCTAATTTTATTTGTTAATCATAAATAACGATTAAATTCCTAGTTTGATCGTTAGTTTCAATGAACGTTAACTAATTACCGTTTAATCGTTAATTACGATTAAGGATTAAATTCTTACTTTAATCGTTAATTGTTATCAACGATCAAATCCCTTTCAATTTTAATCGTCAATTGGATATCTCATCAACAATTGACTAGTGAAATTCTTTCTGTAGTGAAATTAGCGTTTTCTATGTTTTCTTGAGAGATTCTAGAGTTTTTAGACATCGAGATTCTACGTTTTCATGGCTAGAAACACGTTGCAATAATATATAGAAAGATGAATGCAACGAGATTTTTTTATTATTGTTTATTTGTTTGATAAATTTTGAAGGAATTTTAAAGTCATATCATCAAAAAACGAGAAAAGACAACTATTTATACTGTTCTCTTTTCATGCATAGATTTTATAAAATTGAATTTAAAATATTTCTTAAATTATTAATTTTTCGATATAAATAGGTCAATAGTATTTTACAGAGAATGACCTGCTGCATCGATTAATGTAAAACAGATTACACGATTCCATTTAAAAAAATATTGACCTTTATATTTTGTTTACGCGTTCACATAAAAACAAATAAACTACATTCAATTACTGTTGAAACAAAACAGGTTGTATTTGAAACATTTGAAACATTTTTCGTATAACGAACAGTTATAAAGATAATTTCATTTATAGATTATGAACACTCTATTATAATGCTATAATACATATGCTATAATACATATTATAATACATATGCTAAGACGTATTATATGTTGACGTTTAGTTTTTAAATAAAGAGGAATAAATATATAATTCTTCATAACAAAAAAATGCTTTTAATAAAATTTTTTATTTTAAGGCTTTGTTTTCGAGAAAATTGAATTTATCAAGCACAAAATTTATTACAGCATACTTGAAATTAACTAATTCTAGAGATGACAGAGAAAAATAACAGAAAGTTATCCTACTTGTAAAAGTAAAAAAAATTAAAATTTTTTTAAAGCTAAATTTTCAAAAAAATAGACTTTGAATATGTTTCATTAAAAACAAAACATTTTGTTGCCTTCGTACACATGTAGTTAATAAATTTTCAAACTTGATTTTCTTGAAAATGGAGCTTTAAAAAAATTTTATTCCGTATTTTCGACTTATTTTTTAATATAGGATCATTTTCTTTCTTCATCATCAGATCCGAAGCAGCATGTACATATGTATATATATATAACAGATAATATAGTACAATAAATTAAAAATACAAACTCTACTTTTTGAATTTAATTATACCTACGTAACGAACCAGACATAATATTACAACATATAATAAAATAGAGCAAATAGCATCTTATTCTATATTATTACATATTCCATATTATTATATATTACCTAAAGATATAATAATAAATAACTCAAACTCTGAAAAAAGATATAAAAAAAAAATTACAAAGTATATTCCATCAGCTATAAGTTAAAATGGACATGAAAAAAGAAGAATAATTGCATTATCATTTATAATGTACGTATTGATTATAAATCAGTTACCCACGCAGGGGTTCACAAACTGAATTTTTCAAGATAGTAAAGAAATAATTTAATAGTTAAAAAAAGAAACAAAAAATTCAAGAGAAATTTTTGTTTTGCCAATCGAACATTTTGCGTACTGGTTTTGTCATGTCTTACGAAACAGCCAAGTTATGTACTTATAATTTGTATTGGAATCTTCTAGAAGGAAAATGATTTAAAATTTCTTGTCAATATGAGAAAGTTCAATGTTCTATTTTTTAGTTATTTATATCTATTTAAAGCGCCCATTTTTTCATGATAGCAAGAAGTCTCAACGTTTATCACGTTCTATCGCAGCTATTGTGCTGTGAGCGCTTGTTATAAGCAATCTAGAAGCAATTGCAGTGGCCGTATCTTTTCCAAACCCAATAAATATATGTAATATATACCTCTCAAATAGCCTACCTCTAAACCTACAAGAGCCAAAGGATCTTATCAACCAGATACCACCACCAATACTGATAATAGGCGATTATACTGCCACAATTTTCTTTGGGGTTCTACAAACACCAATATCCGTGGTAAAATAGAGAAACTACTAGATGATCCGAACCTCATCCTTCTCAATAGGGAATCAAACCCACTTCACGGTAAGTTCTGGAACACTCAGTGCAATAGACTTGTCAATATGCAGTAGTAGAATAGCACAATACATGGAATGAAATACTTTAGAAGACTTACACGACAGTGACCACTTCCCAATAGTAATAAACTCTGACGACCACTCCTCCCCGACTCAAATCCAACCAACGACCAAATGGAATCTTAAAAAAATCGACTGGTATAAATACAAAAAAAAAAATAAGTGATCTCCTCCAAAATCCTTCACCATACGGCATCGACCCAACCAATATAAATAGCGCAATAAAAACACTTGAATCAAGCATCAATACAGCAGCGCAAGAAGTATCCCCTCCAAGGAAACCAAAAAACAACGACAACAAAAAAAAAACATTCCACCCCTTGGTGGAACGAAGAATATCAAAAAGAAAGTCACCAGGCTTTTGACAAAGCCAAAAAACACCCCACGACAGAAAACTTAACCAAATTCAAGAAACTAGCCAAATTCCAAAAACTAATTAAACACAGCAAAAGACTATCGTGGAATACGTA